TGTGAGAGTGCATATGTGTGTTTGCATACCTCAGGGGTGCTGGTGGTATTCTTTTGAAGTTTCCTAGCCTTCAGTATGAGTGGGCTGTGTACCATTAGACATGGCTGGTTATCCAGACTTTCAAACCTTGGGGCTTGAGGGCCACCAGAGAGGCGGGGGATGGGGATGGGGTGGTGGACGAGGTGGGGAGGCTGGTGGAACACGAAGGGGAAAATGAGAGGAAGTTAGCTGGAATGTGGAAGGACACGAGGCTGCAAGGACAAGGAAGGAAAGGTGGAAGGAGTTTATTTACTAAACATGAAAACCAGCACTAAGGATGGACATGTAGGTTACTCAGCAGAACCAGAGGCTTTCTTTCATGTGGAAATCCCATGCCAATTCCATTTCAACCTTTAACTTCCTGATAAATGTGGGAGATTTACTGCCGCACCAGCGAAAGCAGGCAGATGTTTCGTATTTGTGTTTGCATCACAGATTGATATGTGCGTGTGTCGCTGTAGGAGAGAAAGTCTCATCGCTGACTGTCTGAAAACCCACTGATATTCTGATTTATAGAGAAGAAAAGAAGTGATGTATGAAGTGCAATCAGACATAATTATTTGCCCCAGCTATTCGGTGAATCTTTGACCTTAGACTGTCACATGCCATCTCACACCGAGCCCATATTTGTGCAGCCTCTTAAAGCTAAGCGGCTTCTAATAAAGACACGTGGCATCCAATTTAACTCTTCTCAATCGGCGTGTTAATTGAGATAGATGGGGATGCGAGATCTATTACATTTTTTGCAATACCAGTAAGCAAATGAAATCAGCCTAATTCCATGCTGTGCCGAGTGCCTGTGAATTGGTTGGTTTACCCTACAGCAGCTCTGTGGTCATTGCACATTTAGAGCAACCATTTCAGAAAAAGGCTACATGTCCTTCTTTCGTTTTGTTGCATCAGCAATGAGAGGGGTCTAATTTGAAGAAATGAAAGAAAATGAACATCGTGGCATCATCAGAGCATGCAATGGGGCAGATAATAATTGAGTCATTCTGCCAATGATTTTTGCGTTTTTTTTTCTTCACTTCTTCTAAAAGAAGTCAAGTATGTATGAAAACGCTGCCATAATTAAACCAAAGGTTGGTTTTTAAAAAGTGTTGGAGGATTTTCAAAACAAGAAATATACAAAAGTTTTAGTCCCACGTTGTGGTGTGTGCATCAACATGGCAAAACTACACACCACACATGAACCAGTTTCACTCATGAACATTTCAGGGTTAGAGGGGAGATCTTGCAAAACTCCTCAAGATCAAATGTGACTTTGATGTAAAGAAACAACAGAAAAGAACAAAACCAAATGTAGAAGATAATCATAATAGCATTCACCTTACAGACGCTGAGAAGAATGAAGTGATTGATGTTGCAAAATACTGTGAAAACAAAAGATCTACTAATAATGAGGATCTGGACATGATCATGGTAAAAACTATGATTGAAACTGTTATTGAACATCTGCAATTTGTGATTTTCATTGGGAGTATTCCCTGATGCAATGAAAATATACTGGACAATTCATTTCCATAGGCTCCAATAATAAGTTTTTGTACTAAAATGGGAGGTGGCCACCACCGCCATTTTGACCGTGACACAGGTTCCGTCAAGCCCAGACAATTCCACAAATGGGAAGAGAGGGGAGCTGAGGGTGGGGCTGTAAGGCTGGGATCAACTGACGACACCCAGTCGAACTAGCTACAAGCTAATCTGAAGCTAACCCAATGCTAACACGGATGGGAGCTAAGCTAACGGAAGTATCAACCTAGCTACAATTGGAGTTAACTGTGCACAACACCAGAGCTTCTGAGTCACAGATACGCCGGGCTGACCGCTGGGTAAAACCGGGTGGAACACAGAGGTCTCCCAAGAGCTTCATAAGCCGGCAGCTGAGCAGCAGACAAGCGCCACTTGTTTTCACTTCACTTCACTGCTCTGTAGTGACTTTTTATGCCTGTCATCAACTAGTCGCTGTCACGTGATAATTACTGACAAGATGCAGTCCTCGGAAAAGACAGCAGGTGATGAGCCCCTGCGCGTCGGGAGGCGGAGGCGACGCGCTGTACCAGAGCGTCGGTACTGACACCCGCCGTAAAACGGACATTTAACCAAATTGAGACCTTTCCCCTCTTGCAATTTAACATTCCCCTCACCCCCATCCTAACCTTAATCAGCTTGCGCATGCAAAGCTCTGATCGTTGACGCGCTCCAGACATCTGCGTCCTGAGCACAGCCACAGTAACATTATCAAATCAGGTGTCACCACCTCAAAAACAAATTTAACACACGATTGTTCATGTCGGCTCATTTCCTTTTATGTTTTCTGTCTTTTTTTCTTTTATTTGTACCTGGTGCGTTTTGCAGCTGTGGAGCGGGGTGCATCACCTGTTTTGTCCTCCGGTGACGCACCTCACTGATGCGGCCGGCGTGCAGCGCACTCTCCGCTGTTTTTGCAGTCGGTGAATCTTTTAGAACTGCAGTTCATAGGTAACTCATAAGGTGAATATACATGAAGCCAGGTAGCAGTTTTTCTTTAGGACTGAGAGGAGATGCAGGAAGATAATAAACAGACAGGACAGAAAAATAGTCAGATAAAAACAAAGTTTTTGTACCTGGTGGTTGCAACAAACAGACACCATTGAAGGTAATCAGAAGTGAGGAACAGAAAATGAAATAATTATTTTAATGTTTAGAGCAGCAGGAACTCTGAGAGACTGCAGGCGCATCAGTGAGTTTGCGGCTGCTGCGCAGGGGGAGGGGGGAGAGGGCTGAAGCAGGATGCAGAAACTACCGTTGTTAGAAGAGATGTTTAAGGTAGAAAATGTGGGCGCAATTTTAATTGTCAAAAACTCCAGCGAACCAACCTAATTACCGGTTATTTTCTATTTTCATCGACATAAAAAAGCTTTCAATGTTATTGACCATTCTAGGTTACTACAAAAATTGCATCGCAATGGAATCAGAAGTGTGGCGCTTCAATGGATGAGGAGTTACTTAGAAAATAGAAAACCGTTAGTTCAGATAGATAACATTAAATCACAATTGTGGGACATTAGTCACGGTGTCCCTCAGGGGTCAGCTCTCGGCCGAAAACTTTTTTTATTGTACAGTATATAAATAATCTCACGAATGTATCTCTGTAACTTGGGGGCTTATTATTTGCGGATGATACAACTTTGTTTCACTCAGGGTTTAAAATTGATAATAAATGGGCAAGTTAATGAAAATCACAATCTGGTTTGTTATAAATAGGTTGTCACTCAATCTTAAGAAGACAAATTTTTGCTGTTTGATGACAGCGGTACCAATGCATTGTTGAAAATGGATGGTATGGAGCTAAGGTGGGTAAAGAAATCAAATTTTGGCAGTTATGTTTGATGAAAGTTTTTCATGGAAAGCACATATTATACACATTAAGGGTAAAATTGCCAGGGCCATAGTAATGTGCTTAAATTTTACAATTTGGTGGAGTTTAAAATGTTGCAAACAATGTATACAGCTTGTAAAAATATCTTGCCCATAAATGTTCAGTCATTGTTTGTAGGAAGAGAAAGCAGCTTTGATCTAAAAGGAGCATATGTTTAAAAAAATAAATAAAAATTAGAACCAAAGTCAAGGAGTTTAGCATTGGTGTCCAAGAAGTAAAATAATGGAACAATTTCAGCAAGGAAACCAAAGCCTCTAAGTCACTTAGTATATTCAAAAGTATATTCAAGATGTATTAAATTAAAAGTTTATCATAATTATAGCAATACATTTTAAGGGAAATTTGAGATTTATTCTTTTTTTAACATGACATTAGCTTGTTACATTAGCTTGTTAAAGAGAGAAAAGAAAGTTGATAGGTTGATAAAATGTATTCATGATGTTGTTTTATGGTTGATTTGGCTGATGTTTATTTAAAGTTCTTTGTTAATAATTAATCTGATGATATTTTTGCTTTTGTAAAAAAAAGGGGCAGAGCTTCATAAGATGCCTTCTGTCTTTTTGTTTTCCCTTGCTCCACTATGCATGCTAATGTCACCTTGCTTTCTTATTGGCTACACATCACCTTCAAGAGCCAGAACGCTCGTTTGCCTTCGACATCGGAAAAGACGATCCAACATGTTAAAGGAGCAATAGCAATAGCAATTGCCCAGGGCAGCAATAGGCTCAACAGGTTGAGCGGGTAGTCCAGTAATCGGAAGGTTGCAGGTTCGATCCCAGCTCCGGACAGAGAATTCTGCTGTTGTGTCCTTGGGCAAGACACTTAACCCATCTTGCCTGCTGATGGTGGTCGGAGGGACCGGTGGCGCCTGTGCTTGGCAGCCTTGCCTCTGTCAGTGCGCCCCAGAGCAGCTGTGGCTACATCGTAGCTCATCCCCACCAGTGTGTGAACGTGTGTGTGAATGGATGAATGATACACTGTAGTGTAAAGTGCTTTGGAGTCCTTACTCACTTGTGAGGTGCCCAGGAAGCATCTGGACCAGTTGCCTGAGCCACCTCAACAGACTCCTCTCAATGTGGAGGAGCAGCGGGTCTACTTCGAGCCCCTCTCGGTAGACCGAACTTCTCATCCTATGTCTAAGGAAGAGCCCAATTTAAATATCAGACAAATATTGGGTAAATATGAAATAAAGTGCTCAAATTATGATTTCATTTATTTACAAGAAAAAGCTGTCCAAATAAAATCCAGCATGGCCCCATGTGAAAAAGTAAATGTCCTCTAAACCTACTGTAACATGCTTGGCAGTAACAGCAACAATCAAGTGTTTGTGAGAACTATGAACTTTACACACCCAAACTCTTTGGGATCATCAATCAATGTTTGGTAAATTTGAGAAAGGCCTTTTATTTTAATTTACTATTTTTTTTGTCTCATAGTGGAAGTATCTAACAGATAACATTTTTGTGGTTCTGACTTACAGTTTTGCTCTTCAGCTGTATTAGAATTAGTCTAATTTGTGACTGTTCCTGGTCTCCTACAGTGCGTTACCTGGGCTCTGTGCAAGCCTTCCTATCATGTAGCCTGACACCACAATGCAGCATGGCAATAGGCTGGAGGGAAAATGGCAGCAGGACTCTGAGAGTTACTTCCTTTGCCACTAAAAGCGGTGTTTGGGATGTGGATTACCACTTTGGACTCGGTCTGATAGGTAGGACAATATTTATATTCTAAGGCTATATGTCCTGTTTCTTGATAGATATGACACAAAGATGGGAGAAAAATAATTTTCCATCAGTCTCACCGACAAATCACAAACCTTTGATAAGAAAATCATGGTTTTCAAAAGATGTATCCTCAGTATCCTCAATAACGAGTGCTCTGTATGAATGTTTTCTAAATAATAAATGGGCTGCATAAGTGCCTGATTGAAAAAGTCCTAATATACCAGTTACTGTCAAATTATAATTTCTCCATCCTGTCTTAGCTGACTGAGCCCTGAGCTCCACTGTTCATCAGATCATCCAGGTTTCAGATATTAACGTTAAGAACTGTGATTTTTATGGACTCACTTAAAATAATCATGACTGCATATTTATTTTAGCTATGCTGGTTTACTGATGCATTTGAATACCAATAAAAAAATCTGAATTTCAACCGTCCAATAGAAAAAAAAAAAGACTGTCAGAAAATCTAGTTAAGTAACAGAATGTTTTCTTAGGGGCATTTTTAGAGTTTGTAGCAAAGCAAAAAGTCAAGGAAATAAAAATATTTGATTTCTAACTAATTAAACTTACTTAAAGAAGAAGTTGTTAAAGATTTTTAAAAATATATAAAAATGTCAGTTTGAAGTTTGCATGCATGTTTTTTTTCTCCAAACACTCGCAGACCTGGTAATTTTTGTGTGTGTGACTCTTTTCTGGTCCTGTGATTTATTGGAGACCTGTGCAGGGAGCACTCTGCCTTGGATAAGCACCAGCGCCCCCTTGACCCTGACCAGGTTAAAGCAGTAACAGAAAATGAATGAATGATTGTTCTGTTTGGTCCATTATGCTGTCGTGTCTTGCACCTTAGGGCCACTGCGGTCCTCAATCAATCACAATTAAACCCACAAAACTGTCAAATGCCTCATCAAACACTGAATAATTGGAAACACAGTTGTGCGTGAGCTACAAGATTTTTGGGAGAAAGTAATGACGACTAATGTGAGACATTATTTCTGCTTCTAGCCTCAGCAGGTGTGGATCATCAGGTCTTGCTCTGGAACCCTTGTGTGACATCCAAGCCAGTCTTTGCTCTCTTTGGACACTCAGGCCCTGTCATTACAGTTACGTTTATCCAAACCAAGCCGCAAGTGTTCAGCTACTCCAAAGACAAGGTGGGAGTGTGTCAGTGCCTGCCAGTGGTGCCCCCAGAAAGCTTTCATGGGGGGGGGGGGGGGGGGGGGGGGGGGGGTGTGTGTGAAAATTTTAGGGTAGCACACCAAATTGGTCTCTGTTTGGTAAACAGCCTGCATTTGTATAGCGCCTTCCTAGGATTCTACAACCCCCAAGACCCAACAGCCCAACCCCCTAACAGTAGCATTCTTTGGTCGGAGCCGGGATCAAACCTGCAACTTTCTTATTACTGGGCAACCCGCTCCACCTCCTGTGCTACTGTTGTCCCTGTAGCTATGCATTGCATCACCCCATTAGGGTAAAATTCCTGGGAGCACAATTTTTTAACAAGTACTTTGTCAGAATGTTTAACCTCCAGCAAAATGACAAAGCACATCAGACTTCCTTTCATCACTGGCAACGAGCAAAGAGGTAAATGTGTAAAACAACAACGTTTATGAATAGTGAAAGTTTTGTAACCGCTTGTTACAAGTCAGCAAATGTATTTTGTAGAAGAAAACATCACGTCTAATATGGCGTCGCCCACAGACTTAGACCTGCGCCAATGTATTGTAGACCCGATTTTTGAGGTCAGATTTTTTGAAGCCGCCAACATTTTTCAATGACTGGGGATTTAAATAATTTTCAATAACATTTTGGTAGATATTTTCAGATATTAAAACCAAAACTACTCATTGTCACTTTAAATAAATAATTTATTAAATTTGATGAAAATAAATGTTGGCTGCTGCCCCCATGGCCCATATATTTTTTTGTTTAACATGTATGTCTTCACTAAAAATACATAATTGTGGTTTATTAACTCATTCGCTGCCAGTCGTTTCCTGATCGGTAAAGCCCTTTGCTGCCAGCGTTTCTCACCGTTTCTCACCATTTTTACTGTTTTTTTAAGAGTCACAGTACATTGCGCGCTAGGATGATGTCGACGCCAAAACTACCAAAACAACCAAAACAAAAGGTAGACTCCCCTCTTACATCAGGAAGAATCTGCACGTTTTGAGCTTTATCTGTTGTTTCATAATCTGTTGTTGAAATGTGATCGGCAGAAGCTTTTCCGGTTCGTCCCTCACTTTTTTTACAGCAGCGGTCCAAAACGATCTCCTAACACATGGATTTTCTGCTTCCTGATCATGTGACGTGTGACATACATGGATGAAGATCGGCTTTAGAGCTGAGATGTTTGTTCTCACGGTGCGGGGGCTCTTCCGATGCCCACACAATAAAAAAATGCAAATGACTACTTTAGTCGTCATTGGCAGTGAATGAGTTAATGGAGGTGGTCTTCCATAGGGGGACAATTGGGGTGGCCAACAATTTTTCAGGGCTGGCCCTGGCCCCCCCTGGCTACCCCTTGCGGGCACCACTGGCATCTGCAGTCTTCTGATGAAATAAACTAAAAAGTCTAGGATTAATTTGAAATTCTTGTAGTAATTAACTTAAATGAAGGAGGTTATGGTTTCCACTATTTTTATATCAAAATACCACGTTTCCTTTGAGCGCAATCCTCATACTGATGCAGAGAGGATATAGTTGCCGAGCTTCCTTTTGCAGCATTCTGCATGTTTGCCCCGTCTTTGGTTTTTTCCAAAGAGAATAAATATTTTAGAGGTGATTTATGCTCCATCTGCCCTATGCTCAGACAACATCTGCCAAATCAACAACCTCCAAATGTTTTACCTCGGTTTCTCTGGAGGGCTTCCCGAAACAGAAACAGTCATCTGATTTCATACCTTCTAGAAATATGGCAGAGTTTCTCTGACTCGACTATTCCTGGAATCACAGAGACTGACTAATGATGCAGAAATAGAAATAGTCATGGTGCCTTTATAGTGCGGCTGCTCTAAAACCTAACAAAGTCAGCTATTCTATCACAAGTCCAGGTGTTGAGTCTCTGGGACGTGTCCAGCCTGCAGTGTGTTCAACGTATGACCGGCATTTTCCCGAAGACACGGGAGGATACACACGTGAATCTGCTCTTCCAAGAGGAGCATCAGCGACTTCTGCTTACATTTGACAGCCAGCTTCTCCTGCTGGAGACTGTGAAGGGAGAGGGGAGGACCAGCAGCCATAAATACCCCGTCACCTGTGTGTTGTACAACAGTCTGCTCAAGCAGGTGTGGATAGTGTAGAAAATGATACAGATTTGAGAAAAACTTTAAGAAAGTGTCAAAAATACAAAAATGTGGGAACAATAAAGCAGCAAATTATCGATGTTTGACATCCAGTCTCTTCCACTTCTCTCCCTGCAGGTAGTCAGCAGTGACTCTGGCTCCACTGTAATCAGCTGGGTTTCTGACACGGGCCAAATGGTCAAACGGTTCGACCATTGCCATGGCAACACAGCAATCTCCACCATGGACCTGGATGCTACACAGACTCGGCTGTTTACTGCAGGTGCTGATGGACAGGTCAAAGTGAGTGAACTCACACAGACTAATAGTCAAGAGATCTAAACCAGCCGTAGCATTGCAGGTCGGTGTAGCCACGCTCCACTGTAGCCTCAGAAGGTTCTACCATCGACACAAACAATTATAGGTTGGGCCGATCACAGCGTCTGTAGAGGGACCGTGGGCGGAAATAACACCAGAGATCCAACAGAAAAATGGTGCTCGACTGACACGGCTTTGGCATTAACTTCTGACTATGCTGTCTTAGACAATTCTTTGAGTCAAAAGCAGATAGAGGTACTTGAGTTCCGTATATAAAAATGGACAAGTTTATTCTCCTTCTTCTTTGATGGTGTACAGTGGACTGCCTTATTGACTGATTTCCATTTTGATAGATAAATAAGATAATGATAAAAGATGATAAACATAGGTTAAATTACAAAAATATGTTGGTGTCAAAATAGACATTGCAGCCAAGCAAAAGCGTTTAGTCTCAGCCAACAGCACCAATGGTTCAAGACTTTTGCACCCTTATTTTTCATTTTTAAATGCGAAGTTAAACTTGTTCCAGTCATGGATGATGACATATTTTCAAATCTGGCTTTGGATTTCAAAGCACAAATCAAAACTATTCCTTTCATCCACTGGACCTCTTCCATATTGCAGCTTTCCAATGGTCTACAAATAAATGTTACTTCATCTTACTTTTTTACATTTTTACTTTTTGGGACACTCGCTATTTAAAGAGCAAGTCACCCCCAAATCAACATTTTTTTCTGATAAACTATATAAATGTGTGTCTAATCGTGCTGCAGACACGTGTAGTCAATAGTTTTGCACTTTAGTGCATTTTAGTTAAAATTTAAATATTCTGCCTGAAACTGTCAGTGTTGTGCCGTTGTCGGGTAAAAACTCTTCACTGCATTTGAATTTAAATCTGCCACCGCTATTGGCTAAGAGGTATGCTATGATGTAAACTGGTACATTATGATGTCACAATGTTGTAAGTGTGTGTATATGTTAGTGGCTCCACCCTCTCGCTCTGCTAGGCAACAGCATTTGTTGCATTTTTCAAACATGAAGTGGGAGGGAAGTAAGTTTCTTATAAGGGATGACTTGCTCTTTAATTAATGTGCAAACAACACTGATCTGAGATCTAATCCAAAGTTCTAATCCAAGAAGCAAAATAAAACAATTGCAAACAAGATCATCTTCTTGTTTTCCTTTTGGTTTCAAAACCAACCTATTTTAACACAAGATGTTCTGAGACATGCTGCAGAGACATTGTCACCACATAATGACTCCAGACCTAAAAAACAAAGAGAATAATTATGCATTTTGCAATTAATCAATATAATCAACCACATCAGCTCTGACCCCACGAGCTCTCGTGTGAGGGTACAGCCATGAGTGCTCCTGCGCATGAGTGAGCAGAGGCAGGAATACTCACACCGCCATTTGAAACAACTCCACATGTCATCTTCAGCAGAAGAAGCTGTCTCCCCCCCCCCCCCCTTTGGGCCAATTAGCAATAAAAAGCATCATCCAATTTTCATTAACTCTGAACCCATGGTGCAGCAGTTAATACCATTCAGAATTTGAAATTTTGACCTTTTAATTACAGTGTTCCCATTGAGCCAATCAGTGTTTCTTTGTTAAATGCCATAAACACTGGCACAATCTGCGTCATCATGCAAAGTTGTTGTGAGACAATGAGAGATATAGCAACTGAGCCGTCTCAGTGGATGCATGCACCGTGGAATCGTAGCACCAAGCTCACTTGTTTCATTTTAATCTGCCATCTAATCATGCAAACGTGTTTTTTAAGATAGAACTGATGCCGTAAATGAGTCAAATCGTTAGGTTATGCATATAACCACTGAAGGAGAGGAACGAGGTACATTGAAGGTGTTATGGGAAATCATGCCCTCGAGTGGCCTGGCTGAAGAAAACATCTAATCATGTCTGTAAAGGCAAATGAGGATGGCATCAGGTTGTGGTCCCACCCACCACTTATAATGCCTAGTGTCGCCCTCATTTTACAGTTCGATAGCTGCTCTTCACCGAGCTAGGCTGCAAAGGGGGCAGCCATACGTTTGACCTCGTTCCTCTCCAGGGAACAGTGGTTATTTACATAACCTAATGTTCCCTTTCATTCGATTCACGGTGCAATGAAGGTTCTATGGGACCTATATATATATATAAACCTTCTCCTGTCTCCGATCCATATGTTTTTATTTATTTATTGTCTCTCTTTTTTAAACATCATGTAGGTGTGAGGCCTTAATCCAACTGGAAAATTTCAGGGGCCAGCCGAGCCACTAGACGAAAACTTGCCTCTCTCCTCGAAATATCCGGCGTTTTAAAACTTTTTCAACTTGGAAGAATCTCTCGGTCGAAAGGTTTACTTTCTGCAACTCGGCTTCATAAAATGACCCTTCAATTTTTTCCCCATCAAAATCTTTGAGTTTATAAACCGGTGGCGATCGATGAAGACACTCATCCACTGTGAACAGCTCGTGTGTGAAACTCTGCTCATAATTTTTATCAAAAACACAACGTCTCACAACGTCACCCCTTTTAAATTTCATTTTCTTTGCAGGCTTCGGTGAGGTGGCTCCGTAAAGGTTGCGAAACACCTGTCTTTGATTTTCCATGTTTACTTCAGAGGGGGCCATTTTGATAGAAGAGTGGTAGCTATGGTTACAAGATTGTACTAAATCTCGAATCACATCTATGTAGCAATGGGTGTTTTTGGCAATATCTCTACATTCTATCCTGTTAAATCTCTCCACAACGCTGGCCTTTACGCTGCTGACTGTGGCAAAGTGCACAATTTCGTGTTTCTTCATGAGGGCTTCAAATTTCTTATTAAAAAATTCTTTACCAGCATCCGTCTGCAGTTTTTTAAGGATACCACTGCCTTTCAAAACTGAATCAAAAGCTTCTGTAACATCTTTCCCTGATTTGTTTTTCAGGGCTCATACATAGGCTTTCTTTGAAAATACATCTATGACGATTAATAGGTAATTAAAACCGTCGTTTCATTTTGACAAGGCCTGCATGTCGCATAAGTCAGCTTGAAACTGCTTTAGTGACCCTGAGACAAAACTTTACTTCTCGGAAAATGAACTCTCACAGGTTTGTGGAGTGTGTAAGCATCTTGTTCTGAGAGAAAATCACAAGCCTTATCCGATGAAACTTTCTCTCCAATCTCTTGTTGTAAACCAGTTCTAAACCTTTCCACACCTCCGTAACTACCCTGATGTTTTGGTGAAAAATAAACCTTTTTCATTGCCTCCTCCATCTCTGATGGATGCTTGAAAAAAATGATACATGTTCATATTCTCATTATATCTTTTTTATTTCATAAATTGTACACAATAAAGCTAGTCAGATATAAGGAATGAAATCTAATTGTACTGCAAAAAACAATCTAGTCAAATATAACAAATATAAAATCTAATCGTACTGCAGAAAACAGCCGCCAAATATAATGATTATAATAATAAAGAAAAAACAAGTTGCAGAAGAGATAGGTACCCCCCACAGTTCACTCCTCCACCACCACAGCCAGTGCATCCAGGTCAGCTTTGGTCAGGCGATCGTACACCGGAAAAATGTCTTTGTGAATGGGCATCACAGCCCTGGAGCCATGCAGCTGCATCACAGCCATGATGAACAGGATCTCAGCGTCCAGCTGGAAGCCATGCAGACTGAGAAAACTTTGAAGAGCCTGAATCAGCTTAGGTGTTCAAACCCTGCGAACGATGTCCATAAAGTGAAAATCGTAAAATAATTCATTTTCAGCTACGTAAAGACATTCATGTTGCCGCTGACTGGGGTGATCAATCTTGCATTCGTGGCAGATTGTAGGTAGGAGAGCTTTGATTGCCATGCTGACCAAGTCAAGAAGCCCCATCTTCACTCGGTCCACCTTTGTCTTCTGAAAACACCCAGTCAGACAGACGCTGAGGATCCTCACCGGTGCTCTGGATGTCGATGGTCTGCTGCTGTTGCACACCGTCCTCCTCCCGAGCAGGTTGAGGCAAAACCGGCGGCGGGTCAGGGACTGATGTCACTGAAGGATGCGCAATATCAGGACTCGCCGGAGTCTCATCGATCCAGGGTCTGAATGGTACGTTAGCAGAGACGGTCTCCGGAACCTCCATGATTGTTGGGAGTCGTGGGTAGTTATCCTCCGGAAAGCATGGTGGTGGTGGCGATGACGTGGGCCGCGGACTGCCATTGCATCTCGGTGGTGATGAAGCTGCTAACACCCAGCTCGGTTGGGGAGAAAAGCTGTCCGGTGTCCATAGTTCATCAAGGGTTGAAACCCATCATGCTGATGCGTTAGATCGTCTGGGATGAAATGGTTTCTAACTGAAAGCTCTTTATAACTAGTGCTGGGTGGGGGGGCGTGGTTTGATGATGTGACCGCCACCCCTTCTCCTCCTCTTGAGGCGGGGCTTAGAATTCCAGCTTTTTTCGCAGCGTCAGAATGTCTTTCCAGCAGCGGCTGGTACGAAAAAGTGAAGTGATACGATCCCCCACTTCTTCTATTTTCTCACACCAGGCCCCAAAAGGTACAACCTGTAAAAGGCGGTAAATACCGCATTCAGCATGCACATTTTCCAGCACTAAAAAGAGCTCAAATCCTCTCTCACGGACCGAGGCCTTGAACATCCACTGCCCATACGCATCCTCCAGCCCCTACCATGAAGCGCTGAAAGCTATCACTGCTTTCTGGATTTCATCCAACAATGGAAGAGCTTGCAGCTTGCTGCGTTTTACAGCCGGACGAGGTCTCTCACGATCATCTTTGTACACCCTGCGTGGAACTGCGAGGTTAAGCACTGCTCAGTCGTTGTTGGAGAGATCCGCTGAATGCGCTAAATATGGCTTGAGAGGTTCGTCCTCAGCCGCATCATGGATTAGACACAGCTCCTTAGTGTCATAGCTGAACCGGTACCCAAAACTACCGGTATAGCCGTAAGGTTCCAGCGGCCATATTTGCTCCAAGGACT